AAAGGATTTAAGCTTGTTAGCTCTCAACTATTAAATGTTTTTAATAATTTTCCACTGAAAATAATACTATGATGCTTCAAATTACAAAACGTTTCATCAAATACCTTTAAATTTCACAAATTTATTTAATTTTCATTGTTTTACATTTTTTATAAGTGGTCTTGAACGGTGTAACAAATCCCTCCGTTTATATATTTTTTTGGTAAGATTAAAATCTGGCCATCGCTCGTTTCCAATTTTGCAATTTTTTTTTATTTAAGGAAATAATCCTAAAATACGTTCTAGCTCTAGAAACAGTTCTTTTACTTTCGTGGTACAGTTTACAAAAGTACTTAAATCTAAGTTTTTTTTGAACATAATTTGTTTATATACAAATACTGCTTGCAAGACTCTCATATGCTCCATCAACATATCTGTTGGTTTTGAGAGTCCCCCTTCAGAAAGCGGATCCAAAATTTTTCAAGTCCGTCGTTGTTGAGAATCTCCAAGGCATAAAAGGCCAGTGGAGTTTAGATCTACTGACACACGTAAAAAAATATTTGGGGCGTTCACAGCCTGTCTTAAAGCATCGTAAAGTCGTAAAATTATAAATTTTTACAATTGTTTAAATAAAAATTAGAGTTTTCACATGTCTCTTAAAGTTATAAGTTATAACGATTCGAAAACGTAGTTTGAGAATTGTAAATGTGTAAACTCATTTTTGTATGTAATCCAACAACAAAATTTTTTTTAAACAAGTWAATTTGTATGTAAGTATATATTTGCATTTGTTATCATCAGTTCATTTTTATACTAAATTGTCTTCTGTAGTTTTAGGTTTATAATGCTATGTACTTTTAATATTTTGATGATTGAACACAGTGTATACTTAAACTCCTTCCTATCAGAGGGATCGCGAAGACCGCCTTTTAACCTGATTACATCAAAAAAATATCTGAAACGTCCTTGTTTAAATGAGACTACATCATTTTCTGTCGTTCATTAACCTCTGCAATAGCAGTGGTTAACGTGGGAAAAGCGCTAGGTAGTAACTTCGTTGGGTTCCGCGAGCTGTTTTGTCCTAAGGGAAATGGAAAAATCTCCAYTKCGTAGCWCTATTTTTAACATTGTTATTATTGCATCCGAACACTGCGCAACCCATTTTAAAAAATATAAAAATATAAAAATATAAAAATATATATATATAAAAATTAAAATTAATAAAGGCGCGGGAGAATAATAAGCTGTCTCTTATACACATCTAGATGTGTATAAGAGACAGGCCGTGAAGACAGCAGAAACAGCTGACTGAAAGCAAACAGGTGCATTGCGTAATCTCTTTCTCTATCATTTTTTCTGCCAATCACACGTTAAAAAAAAGTAAAAATATGGGTGATATATGTAGGCCTACTGGGGAACCGAGCAGCCAAAAATAATATGGTTAACACTCTGTTTGCATACCTCAGTGGTAGTGGGGAAACTGAAAAATACCCAAATGTTGTTTATAGAATGCCTAATCTAATATTTTTCAGCAGTGGCATCATTTGCAAATGTTAAAAAAAATGCGTGTTTTGACAGCTCCGCGCAATGCGCTTGTTTGCTTCAGTCAGCTGCTCTTGCTGACGTTACSGTTGACTTATTATCTGCCCGCGCCTTTGAATGTGAATTCGAATTGTAGTATAAATTGTGAAATTTTATATTTTTTAAAATGGATTACGCATTGTTCGGATGCAATAATAACAATGTTAAAAATACTGCTATGAAATGGAGATTTTTCCATACCCTTAAGGATAAAACAGTAATAAAACTATGGATTAATTTTTGTCGTCGGGCGGACAAACTTAATGTTAAAAATGAGTGCATTTGTCAAGTGCCCATCACTCTAKAAGCCTTTGAAAGCAATTTGCTGTTTGTAATGGGTAATTATATCATTTCATTACTATAATTTTACTTTTATAACCAAACACTCTGGCAGGTTTAAGATCGCGGAATCCAACAAAGTTGCTACCCACCTTTCCCACGTTAACCACTGCTTCTGCAGAGGCTAATGAACGGCAGAAAAGGATTGAGTCTCATTTAAACCAGGACGTTTTAGAAAATTTGTTTGGCGTAATCAGGTTAAAAGGCGGCCTTCACTATCCCTCTGACAGGAAGGAGTTCAAGTATACACTGTGTTCCTATATACTTGGTCACAACGAAGGAGCGATTACAGATGAAGGAAATGTTGAAGTCGGTAACACCCCAGATTTGGAAGGGAATTACTTATCTCAAATCGGTAATTATCAAAATATTAAACGTACATAGTATTATAAACCTAAAACTACCGAAAACATTCTTATATAAAAATGTATTGATGTTAACAAACTAAGTTTTTGCATACTAACCACTGTTTCTTTTGCCTGGTTTCCATTAGGTCAAAATAATTGACATCAAAAACTGCCTCAACGAGCAGCTGTTAATTTGGTGTCAAATGCGTTTTCATTGTGTCATAAAAATTCATCAAATGTCGATATAGCAGTGCATTTTAAAAACTGCCGACAATATTTGGCGTCAGATGATTGACAACCCGTTTTCACTGTAGATGTCACTTATGAACAGGCAGTTTGGACAGCTGATTGCAAACTCAATTATTTTTAAAAAAGTGCGTGAAAAAAGTGAAAGGAAAAGAAAAAAATTAATAAAAATAAAAAATTGCAATAGCAACAGCCGCGCTATTTGTAGTAACAACATTAAGGGCTTGGAAGCGCACTCAACAAAGTAATCTAAAACGGTGGTGGATTAGACCAGGACTAAGGAATCGTTCCACCTGTGGTTTTTATAATACACTACGAGCCAATTTGGTTTCTCAGGATTTAAAGTGGTTGAAGAACTTCCTCAGGATGACTATGGAAGATTTTGACTTTTTAGTGGCGCGGCTTACTCCACATATTTATAAATACAAGATTCCGTGAAGCGATATCGGTCGGTGAAAGACTGGCGGTAACACTACGCTATTTAGCCACAGGAGATAACTTCTCAAGTTTAATGAGTGTTTTTCTATTGGGAAAAACTACTATCTGCCATGTAGTGCATAACACGTGTAGTGCATAACACGTGTAGTGCAATTTTTAAAGCTTTAAAGGACGAGTTTTTAAAAGTGAGTATTCATGCCTATTCACGTTAGTCAGTGATAAAATATAAAATATTTTCTAATAAGGTTCCAAACGCTCATGAGGAATGGACAGAAATAGCGGAACGTTTTTACCAGCGATGGAATTTCCCTAATAGTTGCGGTGCGTTGGATGGGAAACATATAGCGATTCAGGCGCCTGCGAACTGCGGTTCTGAGTATTTCAACTACAAGAAATACAATAGCATCGTTTTGATGGCTATGGTTGATGCCGACTATAAATTTTTATTTGTTGAAATTGGAGCTTATGGTCGGGAATCTGATGGAGGCGTTTTCGCAAGGTAAAACTAATATATAATAATATCATTGAACGTTAATAACTAAAAAACATTATTATTTTTCAGATGTGCTCTTTCGACGGCACTTGCAGAAAAYAGTTTAAATTTTCCGACACCGAAGTCACTTCCACATGAAAGTGATGAAATGCCATTTGTCATTGTAGCTGACGACGCTTTTCCTTTAAAAACATACTTAATGAAACCATTCAGCTTCCGCAATCAAGTGATGTCGTACAAAATATTTAATTATAGGCTATCCAGAGCAAGAAATGTGGTGGAACATGTGTTTGGCATTTGTGCATCGCGTTTTCGGATCCTCAGAGACCAATGGACGTCCTCGCGATTTGTGTATTACATAATTACCTATTAGTACGCAAGTCTATATATATACGAATGTCTGACGTAGACAAAGACACAAATGGCATTACCGATCCATTTAATTGGCGAATGGAGTTGGGGGAAAATGGAATGCTTCCATCAGTTCGGCCAAGMAGTGTTTTAGGTAGACCAGCAGACAGCGCGATAAATGTCCGTGAAAGATTTATGSAGTATTTCATGACTYMTCATGGAGAGGTTGAATGGCAATATAATAGGACAATATTGCATAACTCTTCTTTGTAGTTTACTCCTATCTTTCTCATTTATAAATGTGTAATTCTATAACTTAACTTATTTTGTAAATACAAAATATTTTCATTATACCTATTTTAAAAACTTTCTGAATTTTAAATAAAACAAAAGTTATATCATTTTGAATTCAATATATATTTATATAATTCATTTCTTAGTTTATATTTATTAGTTTATTACTAATTATAAAAATACTAAGTTCATTTAAAAATATGTATAAAAAGATATAAAAAAGGAACATTAGGTACATCATTTCATTTGACTAGTTAAAGATTTTATATTTAAACGGCATTATGCTGAGCTATAAAATAACAGCAAAATTATGTTTTATTACATATACAATTCTGCAAGTGTTTTTACCGTGTGAATTTCTGCTGATACTTGAATATCAACTCACATATGTCCTGCTTGAATTCTCTGGCCAGTTGTGGAGATTCCTGGTCCCACTCACGGCCGTTTGATGCCACAAAGTTGCCTAAATCATCCCAAGCATCAGTTTTTGTAGCAGATGTGAGGGTCTCCAGCGCACGTTGAACTACTTTAATGTATCCATCGTCGTTTTTTTCAACACGACGTTTCCTTAAATTGGGTCGTGATGTAGATGGCGTTGGTGGTATATCGCCAGATACCGTTTCCGACTCAAACAATATTGTTGGAGTGGTCAGGGCCGACGAGCTGTCCTATAATAACAATATAAATTATTATATATACGTATATATACTTACATTTATTAAATTTGGAGTGGTGCTCGCTTCAACATTTAATGTATGTTCGAGGAACTTTAGCGAATTGTTGAGTGGGTTCATGGTAGGCGTTCTTCCAGCACATTGTCCACTTTTTGTATGAGCCCTTCGGTTGAAGGCCGCCTAAAAGATATATATATAATGCAATTTGTTGTGTACTATTGTGTACTATACGTGAAAAACATACGCGAAAAGAACAACGAAGGCTGTTCCACTAGGCTGATACTTCGGCTCGTGGCATATTTAGTGTTTCTGCCACTTCATGCCACTGAGCCTCACGCGAATTCCTATCGCGATAATCCGCGGAAAGGAAATTCCAGGTTCCTTCCCTTGACTCCACTTCTTGAATTAGTTCAGCTCAGTCTCCTCCGCTGTCCACTTTGTTTTCATTTTTCGCACCCGCTTGATGCTTGGAATTAACATTTCTGTATTTGCACCCATTTCTTCTGCCATTTTGAAACTGAAAAAGGTTGGAATAATACATTAATTGAAATTAGAAAATATAATAAAACACTTACGTTGAAAAGTGAAAAATCTTTTTTATTTATTTTTGGATATCATTCGCGCGGCAAATTGAAATAATTTGCCAACATGTTGACAAATCTAATTTTGATGTCAAATATTGCCACATAACGTATTTTGATTGTTTTCATTTCGCTGTCAATTTAAATTGCCGTTCGTTGGCAAATATGCCGGCAAACGCAACTGACACCATATGACAACCCGTTTTCATTATTTTGACAGCATTTGACGTCAAATATGACCTAGTGAAAACCGGGCATTATCATAGTTATAATATTAATCTTAACTAACAAGTTATTCCATTTATTTATACGCATATATGTACATATGTTTATTATATTTTTGTAGGTAATATTTTTCCATGTGTGTCAGTTGATTTAAATTCCACTGACCCAATTGAAAAAAAGATGACTTGGAGATTCCCAACAACGACGGACTTGAGATTTGGCAGGGTACATCTGTCACAAACTTGGTAAAGACAACACCGAAATTTGTGCCAATTGAGAAAATTGTTCGTTTTATATTTGGGTGGATTACCTTTCTGAAGGAGGACTCTCAAAACCAACAGATATGTTTATGGAGCATATGAGAGCCTTGCAAGCACTATTTGACATACATATGTACAAATTACGTCCAGAAGCACTTAGATTTAAGTAATTTTGTAAACTGTAGCTCAAAAGTAAAATAATTGTTTTTCAGAGCTAGAATGTATTTTAGAATTCGATCCTTGAATAAAAACTTAATTGAACATATGTATAGCAAAAAAAATTAAATTAAAAAAGACAATAAATTGATACTTTGTCACAAAATATTCAATCTTTTTATTTGCATAAATGTATATGGTTGAAACAAACACAGTCGAACTCGTCATTGCGCAATCTTATTTCTATCATTCTTGTTATAATCGACGATAAATTACCAGAATTAACTAACAACCCTATTCTCGGGGATTCACAAAAATCACCACCCTCACCATTGTGAGGTTTTCCGTCTGCTCTGGTGATTTCAAAAGCACAAACGCTCACAATTACCTCGCAAAGTTTTGTTGTGTGAAATAAAACCTCACAATGCAAAATCACTTGTGTTTGTTTTGTTAATTTCAATATTTTTAAAGAAATTTTAAATTATTTTATTGAAATGTAATGATGAACTATTTATCTATTGAAATATAATGGAGGAATTACTTATCATTATAAATGTTTACAAGTTTTCATCTATTGCAATAAATATGTAACTTACGGTTTTCGCACATTTTACTTCATTCTAAGTATGAATAAAAATACTTATATAGATTTCTGTTTAAATATTTCAGACAAAATTTTGTTTGTAAATATGTATGTATTTAAGCTTTAATAATATGCTGTAATGCTGCAGCTGCTCCTGAGTTGTTCTTTCATATTTTCAAATCCTGAAAATAAATGAAATTATTGTAGACGTTTGCACCAAATTTAATAGATTTGCAAAATTACTCACTTTTCTTGGTTGTCCATTCCTTAATTATGTCTTATTTGTTTTTGTACAACCGCTGGTATACAAAAAACAGCTTTCCTCCTCATTTGGTGAGTATTTTGTGAGGTTTGAACAAGAGTAACCCCACAACAAACCTCACAAAAGTTTTTTCACCTACCAGATCTGAGGTTTTCTCAGAATAGGGCTAATATTCGTAAAATGAATTAAATATAAATTAAATATTTGCTTGCTAATAACAATATTATTGAAACTAGAAAGTATTCATTAGTTTGAAATTTTTTTATGAATTGACATTTTTAGACAACGTGCTAGCCTTCTATGACGATCTCTGAACACAGCACCATTTTAACATGAGCCTGCGGATCTTTTTTATCCGAAATTTAATTTCAGACAACTTCTCCTTAGAAAGTTAAGATAAGACTATTTTTTTCAAAAATACGTAAAAAATCGGAAAAGAAATAGTTAAAGTTAAAATTAAGTATTAAAATTTTCAGAAAACAAAGCTTCAATGTTTCCGCAAGAAGTAAAAAAAGACTTCTAAGTGAAACAGCCTAATGTGCAGATGTGATTAAATCCTCATATATACATAAATACAAACAACAACACAACAGAAAAATTGAAAAGAGTCAAAAAGTTATCATGAAGTAAATAACTTAAAGAAATTAGTGATCACGAATTAGTAATATATTTTATACCAAACTAGTTATGTATGCAGTGGTTTTTTTTAAATTCGTTTATTCCTAAATGCATATTTGTATTTATACATATTTGCAAGTTGTCACCACCAAATACGTCAAAACACATTTATCTGTTAGAATTTTAATTTTTCTATCGTTTGGCACATCGCGTTTACAGACATCCAAAACTGTACTTCAGAGCGTGCGTGCACCGACTGGATTCGGTAGGGAGCATCTGGTCAGTTGTCTCCGAGCACCTGGAGAGTTAGGACAAACATTTTCGCGCGACGTGTTTCTGTGAGTGGTGCAAGCCGAAAATGCACCAAAAGTGATCACTGACGACCAGAAATAGCGTCGAGTGGAAGTGTGCCAAGAAAATTTGAACATATGTGAAAGTGACCCTCAATTCTTCAATAACGTAATCACAAGTGAGCAGTTATGGATCTTTAAGTATGATCCTGAGACAAAGAGGCAATCTTCTGAGTGGCATATGCCGGCGTCCCCTCGCACAAAAAAGATCGGCCCGGCTCTCAAGGCTATTCCGGAGAATGCCTTCCGTAACGCTTTCCATGCTTTGAAAGCATACAAGTATGCCCATATAACCTTGTGTTAAGTTCTATGATTCTTTGTGTCGGTGAACTTGAACCTGCGTTCTAAGATAATTTAAAGACTTAAACTAAATAAAAAGTGGCAACTGACAATCTAATATTGAAAACACCATATAAGAATTTTTGGATCATTTATTGTCTAAGTATAGTCATATATATAAAATTTTTTTACAATAATTACAAGAAGTAAAATTTCAATTATCCGATTTATTCTGACACATGTTTACTTATTGACAGATGAACACAAAATATACCTGTATGCACAGAATTTCACAGTGATCTAATACACAAGTTGTGTATGGTTACTTTTACCGTGCGATTCTGTACTGTGATACAGTATCAAGTCTCTAATTTTGAGATTTTAAGTTAGATAAGACAATTAGATAATTAGATAGATAATTTTTGAGACTTGAGACGATTTAGCTATTCTGTAAGTGACAGTCACATAATCTATTACATTTCATTATTCAGAGATGTTTTTATACTTGAATGAAAATAAATATGTCGATAACAAATATTAAATTTTCTATAACATCGTCAAAAAACATAATTATCAATAAAAATATATGTTGACTTTGTTTCATAATATTAACGAAATTTATGGAAAATTGATTTATTTTTAACCTTTTCGTGTTTAAGTTACTAACAGAATATAAAAAAAAACAACAATCGATTAATATCTATGATGATCTCTGTTCAGTATATTAAAAATGGCAGACAAGGGTTCTTTTTGGTTTTGTGACCTGCTAAGTACCAGGCCTCAAGTTTGAGTCAATATTTTGAGACTAATACCATGTTCAGACCGAAAATTTAAAAGATTCGATTACATTTAAGCATTTCGTAACCCAACAGTGTTCTTACTGCCATTGGAAAGATTAAAAAATAGCTGTTTTTGGCATTCAAGAATTCACATCGCTCAATATTTATGAAAATAAAACATTGTCATATAGTATTTTGTAATAAAAGCCGTATTCTTTGAAATATTTTCCACATTGTGGAAATAATGGACTATTTTTTTCATTTGCGAAGTCATTTTCGGGTGAAATTACACTAGAGACTGATTAGTGAACTAGTCACAAATTGATATTTTAAGACAAAATGTCTCAAATAGAGACTAGAGACTGGTTACAGAATCTCGGTATTAGTTAGCATCATTCGGCATTCGTTCTCACTTTGAAATTCCATTCATGGTTGCATTTTGAATTAATGTTACCATTATGTTGAATTTCTTATTTTGGTATAATTTTATTATTTGGTAGAGGACCGGTCCAAGCTTCACTGTGGCTGGCCCATAGATCAGGGATAATGGTATGCCCAACTTACCTCACACTGGAGAGAGCGCCTCAAAATAGGCGTTTCTAATATAACAATCCGTTGTGGCCAGATAATAAATAAAATAAGAATTTTTGGGCATTTAAATTAAAATACCCAACATTTATTACGATTGCAAATTATTATATATTGGACTTTTAATATATGGCGCAAATTTTTAAATCCTTTTTTCTGATTTTATGGTATATTAAAACAACTGAGTTTCGATCTTTCAATACCTAACAAGGTGAATTAGGCCTGTCAGTTTTGAATTAATCAATGTGTTTAATAATTTGTATTTTCGCATTTTCATTGTTTTACATTTTTTATTGGCGATCTTGAACGGCGGCAACAAATCGTTCCATTCGCATATATTTTTGGTATAATTTCAATCTGACCGTTCCAGTCATTCCAATTGAAAAACGTCAAAACCTACTAAATTCAGTCAACTGTCAAAGTCCGGTAGCTGAGCGGTTCTCACAGCTCCAGTGACAGGAGAGTTGGGCATTTCTTTATCTCTGCCATAGATAATACTACTACTACCATGTATACGATTTTAGGGTTAAAAGTGGTATGATAGATAATTGTTGCCGCCGCAAACTTATAGTTTTCGAGATATTTGCATTTAAAGTTGAAAATTTTGCAAATTTTATCTTGCAATTTCTCGATTCCTAGTAATTATTTATTTCATATTATGCACTTACACTTCACTACATTGTTTCTCCTTATTTATTTCGGTAATTATTTAGTTATTTGCTTAAAATAAGTATTTTATATTTTACACTATTTTCACAATAACAAAAGTATTTATTGTTGACAGATAATGAGTGTTGTAATAATTAGACATTTATCAAACGAATAAAAATGAATATAACTCTTACTGCGTTTGATCAAATACCATCTGAAATATATTTTCCATTGTGATAAAAAACAGTTTTAAGGATTATATATATGTTTAATTGAATCTAATGATTTAACAAACGGATCACGATGATTATTTGTAACATTTTTTCTCCAAATACACTCAAAAATTAAATWGGAAAAATCTTCACGATTATTATCATTGTCTTTAAAAAAAAAAAAAAACGTTTAAATACGTCCGTCGTCCGTCCTCGGCGACGAACGTATTATCGGGGTCGCTGTGATTAACCCGTCGGTGCTGATACCCGTGACTGGACAGACAGTCGTATGCCGTCCAGCAATCAGTACATATAATACTGCCTTTTGCCACGTGCTTCTCTATCAAAGGTATGAGTACCTCAGCAGACCTGACATTGCCGGGACATACCTCCAGCCTAAGGTCGTCACTCCCATCCTCAACTATCCTGAGAACCCTGTGGCCTTCGACTCTTCGTCCTAAAATAAGAAAAGATATATTGGTTGTCAAAAAAGTCTTGCGGTATATTCGCTAGTTGGCGCTGAAAACGCGTAGTTCAGTTTTATTCGTCGCATCGGGTTATGCCATACCTTTTTGGAAAGCTCATTTCACTAACAGGTGTTTGATTGATTGTCGTTTTTTTTAAGTCGAGTTGAGTTATAGCGTCGCAAACATGGAGCAAAATAAAGAGAAAATACAGCATATTTTATAGTACTACTACGATGAAGGCAAAAATGCATTTCAAGCCGCCAATAAAATTTGTGCACTTTATGGACCCTATACAGTTTCCATTTCCCCGGCAAAATAGTGGTTTCAACGTTTTTGTTCT